GTGGTTGTGATTTTGTTTAGTATGTAGTCTGTTCAAGCTTGTGTTCAGTACAATGCTGTTGCAACCGGTTCGCAGGGTTTTAGAACGTATGAAGGGCGACAGGTTCTGGACTCTCAGCTTCTTGTAAAGGTGTCAGGCTACCCTCCGGAAGTTTCCGCTCCAAGAGAGTCCCGTCTGCTTGTCGACTCATTGTTACAGAATAGGGAACGGTGAGATGCCAGGCTGAACCTAAACCCTCAAACCATGTGCCGGAAGGGTACGTAGTAACATACATAAAGTAAGCCTAACGCGAGAGACATTGCTTTTTGGCACACAATACGCGTACATTTGTGTGGATGTTAATTTTAGTAATGAGGCTGCCGACGAAAATGGAAACTGGGCCCGACATCAAATGCGGAGGATATATCCCCGAGGCGCACGAGGATTCTACATCTTCGGGCCTTGCGCGCCAACTTACGAAGGTGAAATCCTAGCAGTTCAACAGTGGTATCGGCATGCTGTAGACGTGCTTCGGGGAACTTTTTTGCGGTTGCCGCGCTCTGAGGTGAGGGTGTCTTGGAAATGCCCACGCCCCAACCCGGCCCTTTTAGCAGAGAAGCTCAGCCATCTGTGTCAGCTTCTGTTGGAGGCCAAGGCTGGCAGTACTGGCCACGGGGCTGCTTGCAGCTGCTGCAGTACCTGTCTCCAAGGGTTTGGGGTTTTGGGGCTTTGGGNNNCCTAAACCCCTAAACCCCAAACCAGGATTGGAGGTTTGGGGCCAAGGGCTTGTGGTTTAGGAGTGGAGTTTGGGTGTTGGGCGCTCAGGAGTTGTGCTTTTAATATGGGGGGCCGTAATGTTGTGGGGCAGAGTATGGGGAGTTCTCTAAGTTAGGGTCCCTCTTTAGGTCCCCAAACAGAATGCGGCACCCTGATAAACAGGACCCCAAAAGGGACCCCACTTTAGAGAACTACCCGTATAGAACATAGAGCAATGATATTAAGGAGCCCTTAGGGACAGATAATCCTAATTAATGTAGGGACCTTAATCATTAGAATAAGGTTTTGGGGTAGATTATACTATGATTATGATAGGGAATCCCCAAAATAGTATTGGTAGTAATTTAGCCCCTATATTATTCCGAACCCTGCATATTAAAGATCAGGTTGGAGGTTTGGGTCTCGGGGTTTGCATGTTGGGGAAAATTTACTGGAACCCTAAACCCCAAACCCAAAAGCCCTAAGCCCTAAACCCCAAAACCCAATTGGCCCAAAACCCTAAACCCCAAACCCCTAAACCCTAAACCTCTAAACCCTAAAACCCCAAAATATGGAACCCTAGAACCAGGGGAAGCTCAGGGCTTGGGGCACTCGCGCGCGGCCGCCGCGCAGTGTTTCGGCCTGCAGATGGCTAGCTCTCTAAAGTAGGGTCCCTTTTAGGGTCTAGGGTTTAGGGTTAGATGGCTAGTTCTGTAAAGTAGGGTCCCTTTTCGGGTTTAGGGTTAGAAGTTTAGGGTTTAGGGTTTGGGGTTTAGGGGTTTAGGGTTAGATGGGTAGTTCTTTAAAGTGGGGTCCCGCTCAAGGAGGTTTATTTAGGGTTTGGGGTTTAGACCTCCCTAAAGGGATCTATATGGGATTCTGTGGAGTTTGTATAACGGTACTATACGGGTTCTATATGGCTAGTTCTCTAAAGTAGGGTCCGTTTTAAGGGGTCCATTTTACAAGAGTGCCCTGCTCTATTGGGCAGACCATCATTTAGAGAACAACGCAGATGGTGGGAGAAGGCCAAATGGCTTTCGAGTGGCATTTCTTCGTAGTATTGGGTTTAGGGGCTTGCGTTGGTTCTATGGTCATGACCATGAATACGAGAGTCCTTATCATTCTCGTAATGTGTTAGTTACGCTAGTTTAATCCAGAATTACTAGTGGGCGCTTTGCTGATTTCCCGCGTTTAACTTCACTATTGCTACTACCATTGCCAATGTCGCTTTCATTTACTTCGCAAGCCTGTGTTGCTTCCACTTCGTGCTAGCATTGTTTGTGCAGTACGGTGATTGCCGCCGCGGTCTCCGTTCACACTACTCTTAAGACTTCATTGAATTACTTTACATCTGTCTGCCCAGCCCAACCTTAAAACCTCAAGCTTAAAACCAATTCCTGTTTGTGGGCTACACACGGATATTTAATGCATTCAACAATTTGGATGGGTTTAGGGTTTAAAAGGGAAACCCAGCAACAATGGAATGGCACCCGATCAAAACCCCATAGAACTCTCCAAGAACTCTATAGAAAGCTCTTTGAGGAGAACCCCATAAGAAGCTATTGGCACCCAGCGGAAACACTCATGACCCACATAAACGATCAACAACAACCATCATACCCGATAACGAAAAATTAGCCCCCCCCCAAACCCTATCCCCTAAACCGCAAACCCCTAAACACAAACCCCTAAGCCCTAAACCCCGAAGCCCTAAACCCTACAAGCCCTAAACCCCCAAACCCTAAGCCCTAAGCCCTAAAGCCCGAAGACCTAAACCCTATAAGCCCTAAACCCCTAAACCTCAAGCCTAAACCCCTAAACCTCGAGCCCTAAGCCCTAAACACTAAACCCTGAACCCTAAACCCAAAACCCTAAACCCCCAAACCCTAAGCCCAAAGCCCTGAACCCTAAACCCTACAAGCCCTAAGCCCTAAGCCCTAAACCCTAAGCCCCTACACCCTGAACCCTAAACCCTCAACCCTAAACCCCCAGACCCTAAGCCCCCCACCACCCTTGAGCCTGAGCTCTGGCCCTCGAAAGCTGCTAGGAGCTGCTCAGCCTGAACAGCCAACACTTTAGGGCTTCGGGTTTAGGGCTTAGGGTTTCGGGTTTAGGGGTTTGGGATTCGGGGTGTAGGGTTTAGAGTTTAGGGGTCCTTTAATCCCTTGGGGTTTTCGGGTTTAGCGGTTTAGGGTCTAGGGTCTAAGGTTTAGGGTTTTGGGGTTTAGGGGTTTAGGGTCTAGGGTTTGGGTTTTAGGGTTTAGGGTTCAGGGTTTAGGCTTTCAATGGCTCGGGGTTTCAAAGGTTTAGGGTTTAGGGCTTAGGCTTTCAATTGCTCGGGGTTTCAAGGGTTTAGGGTTTAGGGGTCCTCTAACAAGGGTTCCTTGAACGGGGATATTGGGTTTCAAAACGGTGGCATTTGGGGTCAAAGGTTTTAGCGGCCTTAACTTACACAAATAACACTTTTGACATGCCTTGTTTAGTGTGTTTTCATAGGGCGTTTCCGAAGTTGGTTTGGGGCTTAGTCTAGTGGCCTTAGTATATAACTGGAACAGGTTTTGAGGCTACAGTACAATATCTTTATGTAGGGATCGTCCTATTCGGGGGTATTCTCACAACTTCTTTAGACCTCTGAAGTGGGTTTCAGAGTCTAGGAATTTGATGCTTTGATTGAGGTTTAGGGTTTGGTTTGTTGGGGGTGTTGGGTTTGAGTGATATGAGAATGACATATTCTGCGGGGATCCTAAACGTAATCCTGTCCACCCTAATCCCTCAACCCTGAACCATCTTCACCCTAAACCTTAAAACCCCAAACCCCATGACCCAATAACATCTAAATCCTTCCGGGCCTTTCGGCTTGCGCGCGTCAGGACCTGCTCTGCACCCGTAGAGAGGGTAACCTGCCGCCTAGGAGGATTGTTGGCTTGAGGGTTTTTGTGCTACAAAGTTTACCATATTATATGTTCTTATAAGGGTTATATACAGGGTTTAATATAGGGACCTTAGGCATGTAGGGTTCAGGTAAGCAAGGTTCAGGGGAGAAGGTTTCAGGGTCTACTTGGGCTTGGGGCCTACCGCGCCGTTTGTTCTGATACAACCTTTTCGTCCATCGGCTGCCAGCATACAGTAGAAGCTTAAAGCCCAACAGCCTCAGTCCTTAAGAATAATGTAGAGGGAATCTTGGTACTGATTGTCCTTTACCCGGTTTCCAACTGTGTGAGTTTACTTTAAGTAAGCTCCTTGTAGTTAACCCGTTCGAACTTAAGAAAGGGTCTATGTTCTCGCAAAATCTGAATGATTGGTGTTGTTACCCTAAGCCCGAAAACTAAATCCAAACCCCAAATGCTAAGCCCGAAACTCAATCCGAATCTTCACTAATGTCGGGGCCTGAATAATTACCAATACTATTTTGGGGGTTCCTCAATATAGTTATAGTAGAATATCCCCAAACCCCTTTTCTAAATATGAGGGCCCCTATATTAAGCTGAAGCCCTAAACCCCTTCCTTGGAATCCTCGGATGGAAAGTGTCTGAAGGCCCTGGCATGCTAGCAGGCGGGACAAGCTTCACGAACTCGTCGTGCGATGCCTTTACGGGTTTGGGGTGAAGGGGTTCAGGGCTTAGGGTTTAGGGTTTAGGGGTTTACGGGTTTGGGGTGTAGGGGTTTAGGGTTTAGGTTTAGGGGTCTGGAGTTTATCACAGGCTTTGATAGGAACGATGCTCAGCGAGTGTTTGGTAGAGATAGAAGCGCTAAAGCCATGGTAGTGACAGGAGTCATTTAGCAGCCATCGCCATCCTGCGTCGTAGCAGGTAGCAAAAACGGCTTTTGTCGGAGTTACTGAAGGAATGGCATCAGAACGAGTCCCCGGGGCAATCAGAACACAAGTGTGCAGATTCGGATATCAGACGATTAGGAGACGGCCCCCTAAACCCTAAACCCTAAACCCTAAACCCTAAAGCCCGAAATCTCGGAATCACCGCTCTCCCCTGTCGACTTCACTCTCGAGGCCTTCAGCTGCAAACACCGCCGGCGGGCTTCCCTGTTGGAGCAAAAACAATTAGGGTTTAGGGTTTAGGGTTTAGGGTTGTTGCCACAAAGTGTTTGTCGCTTGACGCTGTTGGCACTACTAAACGTCTTCCGAACATTCTTCGTCAGTCAGAGCCCGTACGATGCTGGCAGTTTTGCCATCATAACCCACCACGTCCTGACCACTTCTCACAATGACTGCACTGCCATCAGCATTGTCACCCCGAACAGAAACAAGCTTGTGTTGTCACACTCCACCAGGTCTACGTTCATTCTCTCTCTTACGATAGTGAACTGTATAATGCATTTGGGTAGTTCACTACTTTCCTAAACCCTAAACCCTAAACCCTAAGGGTCCCTTTTCTTTTTTATAAGGAGCTTGATTCAATAGGGCTCTCAGGATGCCGCCTCAGTCACATACTTAAAGGATCATGGGACTTAGCAATTAGGGTTATAATTAAGGTAACTATACTTATTTTTACTTATAACCCCACTTAAGGGACTTATAACCTTACTTACTAAGTCCCACGATCCTCCAAGTAGTGTTTGCATGGGTAGTTTTCTGAATTAGGATTACTATTATAACTATTATAACTATTATTACTCTTTGATTTGTTTACTCTATTCCGGTCTCTGGCTTTCTGAATTTCTCGTATACAGCTGCTTGCTTTATAGGACTGACCTGTGCAAGGCCAAAATAAGCTCGCCCAAAACGTCCCGAAGTCGCGTCCCAGGCCTCAATTCGCCTAGTTGCTGCTCCAGGGACCTCAGCAACGACTAATTAAGGTTTAGGGTTTAGGGTAAGGTTTAGGAGGGGGGCACAAGATAGGGGCCAGGAATACGACGAAGGGTTGAATAGGGTTGTGTTGGATGTTGTGGCGCTGGACCTTACTAACTATGCCAGGGTTCTATATGGGACGGAACAATGACAAGAGGGATGTGGTGTCTGTTCGAATATCGTTATTCGGGGACAATATAGTGCATACACACACACACACATATATATATATATATCCATCTACCTACCTATCTATCTATCTATCTATCTATCTATCTACCAATCTATCTATCTATCTGTTTAACTATCTAGTGAGTACATCTTATTCTGGCTCCTATCTTATTGTGGCTCCTGTGTTAGGCTGCTTTTTTGCTCTCATTACGACAGGAGCTTCAGCTCGGGCTTGGGCCTGCGAGTTTCAGGAGGTTCCAGGTTTTCACGGTTTAGGGTTTAGGGTTCAGGGTTTAGGGTTCTAGGTTTTAGTTGGAGATATGGGGCTTGGGGCTTTGGGGGTTTAGGGTTTAGGGTTCAGGGTGTTCTAGGTTTTAGTTGGAGATATGGGATTTTGGGCTTTGGGGGTTTAGGGGTTTAGGGGTTTGGGGGTTAAGGGGTTTAGGGTTTTGGGGGCTCAGGGCTTTAGGGGCTTTGGGGTTTTGGGGTTTGGGTTGCAAGTGTAGAATTTTAGGTTTAGGATTCGGCCTTCCCACCCATACTATACAGAACCGTTGCGCAGCCAAAACAAAAACATATTCTGGAGCCTTGTACCACCCGTTGCAAAATCCAGACCCTAAACCTTGAGCCCGACAAGAACCAACGGTTAGGGTTTAGGGTTTAGGGTTTAGGGTTTAGGGTTTAGGGTTTGCATAGTCAGAGCCAGGGCGCTGCTGCAAGGCTTTGGAGGAATCCTCGAAAGAGGGGGCGTGCCGGTTGAAGGGCTAAAGTAGAAGCAAGAAATGTTGGAACATTTTTCTCCCCATGGACTTAAGGTAAAGTATACGGGATCCTAGCAAAATTCCTGCTAAACCCATGCTCCAACTTTCTGGGGTTCGCTGTAAGTATTTGGGACCCTAAACCCTAAACCCTAAACCCTAAACCCTAAACCGTTGGGATGGAGGGACTCAGGGCTTGGGTTTGCGGGTCCGGGGTTTAGGGTTTGGGGTTTAGGGTTTAGGGTTCGGGTGCAGGAATTGTTTGGGATCTACGCCTTGGGATTTACGGGTCGGGGGTGGAGGGTTTAGGCTTTGGGGTGGGGAAGACGTTCTGGGATGTTGTTTCTTGGTGTAGGATTTAGGGACAACCCTATTTATAAATATCTGCAGTACTCTTCTTATTTTTTTAGAAAGCTCTATAGAGCCCGTGTCAGACCTGGTAAAACCCGATAAGTCTAGAGACTGCAAGGTCAGGTGTCTGGGTGAAGTTGGAACCTTAACCTTTAAAAGCAAGGGCCCGGTGCCCTTAATTATACTGAATATAAACCTTAAACCCTTTTTGGGTTCGCTTCGTTTTGAAGGAAGGCCAAGTTCCACCCACTGAAACCTATCTTTCACGGGGTTTAGAGTTAAGGGTACAAAGGCAAAGGAATAATATGGAGCTTACCTATAGTCTCCCTTGTAGTGCCTTTTTTTGGTTTAACCAATTATATACTAAGGATTTTATAAGGTATCCCCATAAAGGAACTACAATGGAGACTACAGGTAAGGTGGAGGGGTTTAGGATGTTTATGGTCGCAGTATACTCCCGTCTTACGGGAAGTCACCAAAGGGGAACCGAACGACGTAGACATAAAGACGGCAGCGCACTGAACATGCCCTAGAGGCAGTTGCTCGACCAAACTCGCAGGCGCGGAAATTCCTGACTCCTAAACTCGAAACCAAACAGAGATAAGCCCCACAGCCCAAAATCTACCAAAACGCTGAATCGCTGAACATCAAAGACTGGGCGAAGAGCTCGTTGCAATATACTTCCCTGACCGACAAACCCGAGCAGACCCCCCCCCCCCTGCAAGGAACGCCGTCTGCGATTATAGCAACTCTGCGACAACTATGTGAAAACAATGACGCCCAAACTCTTGCCACACTAAACCTTCCACGGTCGAGCCTGACCCCTAAATAACCCAAACCCTTCGACCCCTAAAGCCCCTAAACCCTAAACCCCTGAACCCTAAACCCCTGAACCCCTAAACCCTTAACCCCTAAACTCGTAAATCCTAAACCCTAAACCCTTAAACCCTAAAGCCCTAAACCCTAAACTCGTAAATCCTGAACCCTTAAACCCTGAAGCCCTAAACCCTAAACTCGTAAATCCTAAACCCTTAAACCCTTCTTCCCTAAAGCCCCAAACCCCTATAAACCCCTAACAATGATTGGCCCTGCCTCAAGTCTCGAACGCTCCGACTTCAGCCTTGGACGCTAGGCTTTTTTTTTTTGGGAGGGGGGGGGGGTCCCTTTGAACGAAGTTAACCCTAAACCCTAATTATCCACCTCACGGAGCTGTAGGGCCAAGGATGGATAGGCCGCTCAAGCAAGAAGCTCTGAAGGGCTCTCAACAGCGACAAAGTTCAGGGCGTAGGTGTCAGGGTTTAGGGTTAGGAGTTTAGGGTTTAGGGTTAGGAGTTTAGGGTTTAGGGTTTAGGGGTTAGGGTTTAGGGGTTAGGGTTTAAAGGGTTTGGAGAAGCTTTAGTTTAGGCTTCCCTCTCTCCCCCACCCGGACCATCAGCAAAGGAGCGCGTCTCGAGCCTCGCGACTCTCTGCCACCTCCAGGTGTTGATTTACAAAAGCTTTAATACGGTTACGAGTTCTTTCGCAGGTCGATGAGGGTTCGATACTACAAGTGTAACAATAAGCGTAACAGTGTGACAAAGAACCCTAAGGAGCAATGTTTGAACCTATTCCGAGCCCTATACTACTGCTGGTTTCCGGTCTCGGGGCTGCTGAGAATCTCGACCCTCACCCCCTGGACACACCCTAAACCCTGAACCGGTCTCTGAGGACTGAAGCTTGCCCCGCTCAAGGTTTATGGGGGGTTTAGTATTTAGGCTATGGGGTTTTAAGGGCCTAGGGAATATAGGATTAGGCGTGCCTGTCGTGACGCAGACGAAACGGTCTTGCTGCGGGGGCAAACCAGCGCCTACTCGAGCGAAAATGGAGAAAACGACAAAAACAAACACATGTCTGCGGCCACCAACACCTCGAGCTCCAACATGGGCCATATTCGGGGGATGAAAAGCTTCTCGACCCCGAACCCTAGACTCTAAACCCTAAATCCTAAATACACATGAATCCGTGAGAGACTGCACATGAGCGGGAAGTCTACGCATGCTGCCCTGGATGCCTTGGCTCGACTGCGCAGGTGTATAATAGACAAACCTGACAAACCTGAATAATTAGAATAGGCTTTTGGGGTATTCGGTATAGTTAGAGTTAGTATTGTATAATTATATTTCGGAACCCTAAGGCCTAAACCCTGAACCCTAAAACCCTAAAACCCTAAACCCTATGTCCATGACAGAGGGGAGCTTATAGGATCTTCAGAGGTCCTACTAGACTCAGAGGCCCCGAAGTGGCAGGTTCAGGGTTTAGGGTTTAAACTTTGGGGGTTTAGGGTTCTTTTTTGTTTTGGTTTTGAGGGGTTTAGGCTTCAGGGTTTAGGGTTTAAGGGATTCAGGGTTTAGGGCTTAAGGGGTTCAGGGTTTAGGGTTCAGGGTTTAAGGGGTTTAGGGTTAGGGTTTAGGGGAATCCTTATTATACTATAAGGAGCCCTAGACAGGGAACGAGTGGCCCATACCGCGGCGTGTGCCTGAAAAACTGGCAAGTTGCTGAGCTCCTAGCGCAGAAACAAGCTAACATGGGATTGTGGTAAGATTTTATGTGCCAGCTAGAGAAGGTTGAAGAATTCATGGCCTTAGCCGCAGCCGCTTCAGCCCGACACGAAAAAACACATCTAAACAAAAGCGGCCTGAGACCCTTGAAAGCAGCCAAAAGAGACAAACAGACACACACACACACAGAGACACACAAACACACACACACACACACAAACACACACACACACGCACACAGACACAGACACAAACATACAAACAAACACACACACACACAACACAACAGCAACAAGCATACAACACATAGTACCACAGTAAAATGCCTGAGACATCTACTCATCTACCTTGAGCCATTAACGTAGGCCCCCAGACCCTAAGCCCCAACACCCTAACCCTAAACCCTAAACCCTAACATGGCCTGCTTCTCAAGAGACGCTAAGGTCTCCAGCTCCGCCTCCTCAAGGGCCGTTGAAGGCATACCAATGACGGTTTAGGGTCTAGGGTTTTCGCGTTTGCTTTTGGGCCCGTTGTCCTCTCTAGGTATATAAGGCTGTAGGTTTTAAGTTTTTTTTTTTTGAGCGCCTTTTTCCGCCTGTCAGAGCATCCAGCAGCCAGAATCCACATTGTGGAAGGCAGACACTACACAACTCAGACCCTTCAGGTTTTAAGGTTTAGGGCTTAGGGTGTCTAAGCTTCGGGATGCTTTGGGGTCTGTTTCAGCCCTCGGGGTTTCAGGTCTTCAGGGACCTTTCGGAATTCAATGCACCGCTCTAAGGTTTGGGATTTAGGGTTTAGGG